TTTTTTACTCTGGTGTAGTTAGGAGTAGTTGTGATCACCTTATGAAGATTTACGGGTTGATATTCGACTGGAATTCCAAAAACTTGTCCACTTGGTGTAGCAATAGAAGTTATGCATATGACGTTTGTTTTTCCATCCGCCATTGATTTCATTGTAAAATCAAATCTTAATTTCTCCATTTTCTCAATATATTAGCAAACATGTTGTTTTATAATGGTATTTACGGTGTTTAAATAAGAAAAGACGAAATTGCGTTTCTTCTAAACAACAAGAAACAACATTTAATGCCCTTTCTTCAATAATTCTATAACACACATTTCACAACGTCCATTAACCGAAAAATTATTTAAACAACTATCAATTGTCATATGACAGATTGACATTCAATCATTCATTACATATATATTCATGTTTAAAATATTTTTCTTTTCAAATGATATAATTTAATAATATTAACATTATTATATATTCGCAAAATTTGGCAGCACACAAAAGTGCCGCGGAATAGTGGTTGAGAATCACTGGTCTAATCCATTGTATCAAAACCGACTATAATTTTTCGAGATTGTAGTGACAACGCATCACAGTTTTAGACGCCACGCATCAGAAAATTTTGCAGTAGCAATGTATAAGTTGTGTTATATTTCGATTTGTTTTCAATTAACGATTCTTAGTTTTATCATGCCTTAATATTTTAACCGACTGTCTTTATTATTGGCAGTATTTCAAACACACCTAGCAAAGTATGATAAGATTCTCGACTTTAAAACCCACTCCAATAATTTTAAATGCAAATTGGGACTTTATTTTTTATATTATAATATACATATATACTTATATTTAAATATAACAGAATCTAGATTAAAATAAACACACTGAATATAATATTTTATACAAAAAATAATATGTGCGAGTGTGGTTTAAGATAATATTATGTTGCAATATTAAAAAAGAAACCTTTGGGAGCCTTTTGTGCCAAAAATCGTATATAAATTCAAACAATTATATTCTTCTGGCATTTTTTTGTCATTTCTACCCAAAGACATATTTAATATGCCAACATTAATTACATTAAAATTAAAATATAATCTGTAAAAAAATTATCGTAATTAAAACAACACCGTAGCATAGAGTGGCACATTCTTGTCAATAAACTGTACTTATCGATAAACGTTATCGACATATTTCAATTAGATTTAATTTATATCGATGCTATTTCAAAGGCACTGTTTTAGTTAAAACTGTTGTTTGTTTTTTTTTGGTATTTTCTTACCAACTATTGCCAGTGTTATTTAACAATGTAAATAATTCAGTTTGCAAGTAAATATATTTCTTTGTTTAACTCTAAATTTCATTTGAGACATGTCATTTTTATTTTACGACTAGAATATTTACATGCGTTAAGTTAAGGTTCGGTAGGTTAAAATAACGAGTACATTGATGCTCCAATCCCCAGTTTCGCATGCTTTACATTGCGTACTAGTGAACGGTGAATTATATTTAAAAAAAAACTATTTTAAACAACAACTTTATTTTATATCCAGTTATATTTTTTTTGAATTAAGGTATAAATTAATAAAAAATACAAATAATAGTTTTTATTATTATTTTTCTATGATCCTAGCGTCTCTATCCCTTCTAGTGTAACTACATTGAAAGAATAAAAACAAGATGAAAAGTCCAAGACCTAATATTTTAAATCAACATTACCGAAGCTTTCATTACCGAAATTGGCTCTGGAACTTTAAAAAAAAGGGTATTTTTAATAAGATACAAGATCTCCAGATTTCTAAGTCATTTGTAGAAAATTTTTTATATATATTTTTTGTTTAAAATGTCGTACTTCGGGATTGGTCCCGTTTTTAAGTTCATATGGCGTGATTCAATCTTCAAATCTGTTTTCAATATATGCATATATGTATATTCAAATTACAAAAACAAAAAAACTATAATTTTAATATATTTATTTACAGTACTCGATAGAGAAAATAGTTGATCAGACTCATGTCTTTTGCGCAATAATAATTTAAAAAATGTTTAAAAACTTGCTACTGAATCTTCATTATTATATTTTCCTAATTGAAATATGTCTGGTATAATTATTGTTGGCGCATTGTCAAGATATACTATGTTAAATAATAAGAATTACAATTTCCGATATTTAAAAATAAATAATTAAAAACGGAAACGCGCGATTTGGTTCTGGCAACATTTCGCTTAATACGCCATATTTTTCATTGTAATTAAAGATGCGTTTTATTTGGTATTAGCATCAACAGTTCGATATTTTTAATTGAACTTCAATTAAATTTACCCCATTGAAATAGCTGACGAAGTTTTTTTTGTTACGATATTTTTTCTAATATTTAATCTTTAAATGGCTCTCATGGAAAGTTGCAAAAATGTCGCTTCAACCAAATACCTTTTCACATCTCGATATATTAGGCACATTTTTATTGCTGGTGATGGGAACACAATCTTGCGGGTCAATTGGTTATGGTTTGAGATAGGCAGGGAGGTTGTACCTAACCGTGCGGGACCACCCGCCCTCCCATCAATAGCGGTGCGTGCGTGGCCTTACCGTCAGAGACGTAAAAAGCGAAACGTCAATTTAAAATACATTTTTTTTGGGAATAATAAAAATAAAAATAATTCGCGGGTAGTTTGATTTTTTTTCACCCCCTTATATCTATCGTCCATCAATAACAGATATAAAGTTTTAATTTGTTTTCTTTTTAAATACTTTCTGTACAAAAACACACAAATATCGTAACGATCATATAAGTGACAAACGGACGGACTAAAAACTACATATTTATTATACGTATCAATGAACATTCCAACTTTATTATAGATAAAACTTTAACATTATATATATAGTTGTTATAATAGTATATAATAATAGACGGATGTTTAGTCCAGTCTATTTTTGTTAACTACTTTAGAAAAAGTAACATACTGTATAACGCTGGTTCAATTTAATGGTGACACGAGAAAAATAAACTCAGAAATACGATATCTTTAAACTTTAATAAAAAGCTATTTACACTAGTCGATTTTATTATAAGATTTATTTGTGGGTATTTGTGTTTTACGCGCTGTTTTGTTTCCTTGTGTGCTTACTAAGCTTAGTACGAGCTTTTTTTAACTTCTGGATCGCGTAAAAGGAACAAACAGCTTCTCTTGGTTTAGCCGCTAGGGGCGCTGTTCCAACTCCATACAAATTTGAGTTACTTTTAACGCGATCGAGAAGTTAAAAATGTCGCACTAGGCACACTAATGTCTGGATACGCTTCGGTCGACATTTCGTAACACATCACACAACACAACACAACACACAACGACATCGTAAAGAAATTTCCCATAGACACAGCCCACTGAGTTTCTCGCCGGATCTTCTCAGTGGGTCGCGTTTCCGATCCGGTGGTAGATTCTGCGAAGCACTGCTCTTGCTAGGGTCAGTGTTAGCATCACTCCGGTTTGAGCCCCGTGAGCTCACCTACTAGTTAAGGTTACGCTGATATAGCCTCTCAAGGCTATCAGCTTTGGAAGAAGAAAAAAAAGTTTTAATTATGCCTACGATTTATGAAAACCGTAGAAAAAATCTGTACAATAAGTTTTCTTATGAAAATAAATTATAAACACATAAATCTCAACCTATACTGTATGTTTATAGTATATAAAATCGTGCGTTGTAAATTTCTTTTAACGACATCATTAAATTCAGCCAACGATACTGTACGACACATTTTGATGACGTAAATACTTTAAACATTACTTTTATTTTACTTATTTATCAAATCCAAATATGAGCAAATTACATACATACATACATTCGTGAATCAGATACTCCTAACATTCTTTGGCGAACACGCGTAAGTAATCGCAACATCATAACACTCCCACCTGCTCACACTTAGTATACGAGAACGAGATAACATTATCTAATCAACAACATGTTTTTTTTTATATTAGGCCGAAATCACGGGTCAATTTACACGACACGATTTATCGGATACGATTTCAAAATCGTATCTTTTAAATAAGTCAATTTTATTCGACAATGCGCCAAACCGATTTACTATTATTTATTTAGATCTATTAATAAGTTCGCACAACACAATACGGTCATCTGCACTGGAGCAGAAGATCCCCTGCGGAGGAAAAAAAGAATATGAAATCAGTCACAAACAAAAATATATAGTGTCCTTTAGACCACACGACTGAAGTAAAACTTCTTTAGCTCCATCCATATGTATGTATGATAATAATATATAAATTTTCAGCAAATATTTAAATTTATTATGGTTTTCAATAATAGATTAATATTTTTGAATGAGAAATGAATTTGAATAAATTTGAGAGGAAGAGAGAAAGCTAAATTGCGTGCGCGCTGTACTAATAATAATAATAATTACATTTATTTACTCCACAATATAAATAACTTTTCAATTTATATGACATAGATTTCGAATTCTATCTAAACAATATTACAATATATTAATTAAACTGACAGTGGAGATAAAAAGGCAGCGGCTCGCTGTTACAACGTGATACAAACAATAGGCCTGCATTGTGTCTTAGATATACGAAACTTAACTGGCAACAAGAGAAAGAGAGACAGAAAATATGTGCTCGCACCTATCTCTCTTGTCCCTGCAGTAATATACGAAACGTAGCTCTCTCTTTCTATCTTCATTAACTTATATCTCCTTCTCCCTCTTAGCTTCCGTTCGCCTCGCCCGATCACAATTTTCGTAACGCTCTCGCTGCGCATTCATCAGTCAAGGAAGCGTAAAGAAGTTTTACTTCAAAATCAATCGGTTCGTTGGCTCATTGGTTACTGTATGAACTTTTAAATCACAGGCTCTGAGTTTTTATGAAAGATATCCGACATTCGTGAACCATTTGTTATTTTGTTTATTTATATACAGACATACGTTCTCGATAGCGTTAAAGTTAACACAGATTTGTATGATGTTTTTTTTCTATTGCTTAGATCAGTGGACGATCTAACAGCCCACCTGGTGTTAAGTGGTTACTGGAGCCCATAGACATCTACAACGTAAATGCGCCACCCACCTTGAGATATAAGTTCTAAGGTCTCAGTATGGTTACAACGGCTGACCCATCCTTCAAGCCAAACGCATTACTGCTTCACGGCAGAAATAGGCAGGATGGTGGTACCTACCCGTGCGGACTCACTAGAGGTCCTACCACCAGAACGTTTGCCTTCATTAGTCACTAGGGGCGCAGTTCCAACTGCACACAAATTTGCGTTAACTTTTACGCTATCGAGAACGTTAAAAAACTCGCACTAAGCCCACAGATCCCTGTGCCTGTGACGTAAGCACGAGACCCGCAACCGGGGGGTCGCTAATGTGCCATCACGATACGCACGTTGTTAGGGAGAGTGCTGCGAAGAGGAGGAGGGCGAGTGCGCCGCCAATGACTGCTGTAGGGCCGCCGGCGTCAGCCACTCCCTGCGCCAAACGAGACGGATTATCAAACTTAATACCGGAAAGCAAACATCGTTCGGAGGACAAGTCGAAACGTGACGTCATACGATACGATTAATTATCCCGTGGATTATAAATAGCCTTTTTTTCTCTCATAACACCTATTCCTCTAGAAAGTTTTGTGAGCGTTATAAAAACGTAATACGATGAATCATCATCAACCCACAGTCGTCCACTGCTGGACGTATAGGCCTCTCCCAATCCACACTACGGAGCTTTCTACTGAGTCTTCGGCTCTCCTCATCCAATTCTGACCGGCCACCGTTCGGAGGTCATCGCACCACCCAGCCAGGGGGCGTCCCACGACGAATACGGTACCGTAAAAGCTTATATAAATTCTTGCATTAAAAGTTCAAATAGTGGTATTGAGACGCTTGTATTGATTTGCCATGTATGTATTTATATATTTATGTGTAACGAAATCTTTGAAAGTAATTTAAACTGACTTAAAGACGTCCGAGCAACTAGAAAATTTGCACATGCATTAAGAAACGATGTTATAATAAAATTAGCTTTTTTGTAATTAGATAATTTGATAGCTTCGACCTTTATATCCTGACCAGGATCAAGGATAGGATATTGACGCGTGTTTTTTTTTTTTTGTTTTTCTAAACTATATTTAACTATTCTTGAACGCGCTGGAAACAAAAAAAACTTCCACTGGAAATTCACATAAAAAATTGAACAGTGCAAGTCTTGATTAGGTACGTGTATCAGCTAATATATAAAATTCTCGTGTCGTGGTGTTTGTTGCCAAACTCCTCCGAAATGGCTCAAGCGATTCTCATGAAATTTTATTTGCGTATCGGGTACGCCTGAGAATCTGTCATGTCTATTTTTCATACCCCTAAAGGATAAGGGTGGTAAGCCCAAAAAATATTTTGTCCCTTGATATAATGTATATGGCAAAACAACGTTTGCCGAGTCAGCTGTATTACTATAAAAAAAAATGCATCTGAACGCGGGACGTCAACACTGATATCGCAACGAGGGCACTCGGTATGACTACACCATACGTTTCCTAAATTAATTCACAATAATAATTAACAAACTGTGAGTGACCGAAAAAAAAAATCCACAAAACATAAAAAATCATGGTTACAAACTTCGGTAGGCACCTCTGCAGGAATGGAACGCACGAGCTCACGTACGCTAGTCGATTCACCCATGGCGGAATGTCGCGTGAACACAAAGCCTGCAGAAAAAAAAACTATATATTATATAAAAATGAATAACTGTTCGTTAGTATCGCTAAAACTCGAGAACGGCTGGACTGATTTGGTTAATTATGGTCTTGAATTATTTGTGGAAGTCCAGAGAAGGTTTAAAGGTAGATAAATATGAAAATGCTCGGAATTAAATAAAAATAACAATTTTGTTTTTCCTTTGATGTGTCCCCCGTCGGTCTTTTATTTATCGATTGAGGCACTACGAAGTCTGCCGGGTCAGCTAGTTAATTAATAAAATCTCTCATATTTCATTTTTGTATCTTCGAGTCGTGTATAGCTCGTGTGGTATACAGCTCATGGACCACACTTGACCCTTGAGACACGAGGCTGGAGTATCAACTGTGTTACGCACCAGCCGTCGCACTGTGTTCTTGGTGATAAAAACCCTTTTTCCGGTTTTTTTAGTTGTCTATTTTTTAGTTGGATTTTCTATAAAAGCGTATTTTTTCAATTATTTTAAACAATTTTTTTTATTTAATATATTTTGTACACACAGCTATTAGAAAAGACACGTCAATAAGGATACAGAGTACAAGGGCACTACTTATTTCATGCTGAAATCTCTTCCAGTAGGCCCGCAAAAGGAAAAAAGAATTAGGAACACAAACCTAGTGCATACAGTAAACATTACATATAATAATATATACATATTACAAGATACAAAACAATATATATATATATATATACATACAAATACACACACACACACACACACACATATACAACATGTAACATATTTAACGCACACCCTCAAACACCCCAATTAGACTTTAATAGTATAAACGCTATGCATACACCAAATATTATTTATATGTGCGTTAACATTGATTATTTGTGAAATTAGTTATTCCCATTTCGTGGAAATAAAATGGTCACCGATTCACACTCCGCTGCGCACGCACACACAGACACCTACTCGCCGCGCCCCTTGTTCAATGCACTTTAATGACCGTTTTCGTATTTGTTGTTTTATTTTAGATAATACTGCAATGTCACTTTTCACTTTATCAAAGGCGGTTATTATCTTATTCTTTAGTTCTTCGGCACTTATTGTCTGTGTGTTATAAACGAGCGATTTAATTCGCCCCCACAAAAAAAAGTCGAGAGGCGTCAAATCAGCTGATCTAGGAGGCCACTGACCGAAAAGACATAGCGAAATACGGGAGATATTTTATTTGCACTATCACTTGACCTCTTATCGATAAGGTGGACGCGGCGTGACTGAATGTCAAAAATATTTTGTTGACTTCGTTCTTGTTTAGATTTTTCTTTGATCACCGCCGACGCAACCGCGTCGCCGCGAACATCGGGATTAGCCTGCCGTTTATTGTAAGAATATTAAGCCGACGAAAGAAAGGGATAGTAATTATTTTTGTATTACGTGGTTTTCTTTTATGTATTGTAGGGTTGCTGTGTGCCGGCGGTCGCTGTTGGTATTGTGTGCGTAGGTATTTTATTTTGTAATAGACTATTAGCCTTGAAATAAGTATCAGATTTCTTTAATTAAATAATTTTTTTTTTTACTAATTAGATATTTCATTTTAAAAAGTCTTAATACCCTGACTTACGTTCCATTTTCGTTTCTATGAACTGTTTAGCTAGCTGTGTAGGGTGACTGTAATTTACTTAGTTTTAACTAAATGTTAGAAAAAAAATTTGGTACATAAAAAACAATCAAAATCGATCCAGAATCCGATTCTGAACAAATTACTTTCAGGGTGTGCGTTAATTATGTTACATGTTGTATATATATATATATATATATAACATACACACATATACTTACTTTATATTATAATACATTATACAAATATATATACTTTATTCAAGATGGTAAGGATAAATAATGTTCTTTAACAGATTTCTTGAACGCTGCTATGGTTTTGCACGCTCGTATGCTTGGAGGGAGGGAATTCCAAAGTATAACTATTATTTATTTTTCAATTTTTAGTTGAATTTCAATTTTTTTAAATTTTTTTATATATTGAATTGTCATCGGTCCTTAATAAGTATGCCAAATTTTTAAGTGGGTCAAAATCATATTCAAAGATTCCGTTACATACTGACATACATACATCTGAAGCTAATAAAAGCATAATAATATTAAAAACGGACCAAAACTCACCATGCAAAAGGCTGAAGTGAAATGATTGCAGTTATTGTTCATTAAATGGTATCTGTAACAATCGATATAATAAGTTGTCGTAGCTTAAACCTTCAAGTGCTGAGCTTATTATCACATATTTCGCAGAAAATGCAAAAAGGATTTTGAAAGAAAAAAATACATTATTAACAAGTATGTACTTGTTAACTTGGACGGTGCGTCTCGCAAACCACTCGACCGTAGAGAGGGAATGAACAAAGCGAGCTAGGTCATTTCTCTTACAGCATTCCCTATTACAAGAGAAATTTGATTTAGCGATGAAAATGAAGAAAACCACAATACTACACACCGCAACAGAAGTTTCACTTCTTTCACGTGCATAATTTAAAAAAAAATCTTTTTTATGTTTGTGAATTAAGCGGTAGGCAGCGGCTTGGTTCTGCCCCTGGCATTCCTGAAGTCCATGGGCGACGGTAACCACTCACCATCAAATAAAAAATAAAAAGGAATTGTTATCAATTTATTTATTTATTAGAATCATCCGTAAAATATAGGTTACAAGAAAATTGCTTTACAGCTTTCTCGATCGTAAGCACTAAGAACTTTTTTTACGACTTAGAATACATATAAGAAAATAACTTTATTATCATAAAAAAAAACACATTATTACCTGTCACCTCTGAATTGCTTCCCTAGTTCTGCGACCAATCTTCTTACTTCCTCCTCGCTGAAATCTGTATATCCTATATGTACACTCTGCCTGTAACATAAACCTTTTTTTTTCTACCTAGCCTAGCCTTAGACGGCTATATAAGCCGCGCCGTTAAATAAAAGAATCGAAAATGGCGTCTATGTACCTGCACTGACAGATGGTAAGGTCAACAAATAGTAAATAGTACAGATAGTAAAATAAAGTTGTTTATTGTAAAAAAAAATAAAAAAGGGTGCGTTTATTTTTATTCAATTTATTTCTTTTTTTTTAATATTAAATATTTAACGTTAATAATTTAATAATATTTAGTATGAATTAAATATTAAATAATAATTTTGTCATTTATATGACTAAAAAAATGAATGCTAATAACACTTTTTTTTACGAGTGTACATGCGCGAAAGTTCACCTGCGGCTATATTCAGACTCGCCAAGTTACGTCGGTCGTATTGTAATGAGCGATTTAGTGGGCAACTTCATTCTGTTAATTTAGCGTCACGGTGCGCGCCCATCTTAAAATTTCACTCTCATAAATTTTTCGTAACGCGCCTAAAGAAGTATAACTTCAAAAAACAAATGAGAATGTACTTTACTTTATGCCCTGGCAGAGGGGGAGGTGTCTCATCTGGGATGCAACTTGCGTAGACACTTTTGCTGCTGCCAGTCATCTAAGTGACACAACTCGAAAGTGAAAAAACTCGAACTCAACAACAAAGTCAGAACTGATAATTTTTCTGCGTGCAGTACGCGCCGTGTGCGATAAAGACAGCAATAGTTTAGAGTGAGAGCGCATGATCGCCGCCGCCATTTTAGATTCGTTTCTTTATTGGCGCGGCCTATACCAGCACAGACGAACGAATAGGTGAGCCCACGGGGCTCTAACTTGAAAAGCAACATATAAGGTGTTCGGTCATCATCATATAATCAAACAACCACTACACATTCTTTGTTATTACGAGACCGGGTCGCGTCAGTTACAATAGAAAAATGAACCCATAGACACAGCCCACTGAGTTTTTCGCCGGATCTTCTCAGTGGGTCGCGTTACCGATCCGCTGGTAGATTCTGCGAAGTACTGCTCTCGCTAGGGCAAGTGTTAGTAACACTCCAGTTTGAGCCTCGAGAGCTCACCTACATGCTAGGGTGAAGATGAAATAGCCTCTCAAGGCTATCAGCATGGTAGGGAAAAAAAACTGACTTTAACAAAATTAAATGAGAATACCATCAATTTGATTTATCTATTTATCAATCCACAGCTAGCCTTTAACCTCAATTTGCTCAAAGACAATAATACATGCTTAATTAAGGATAACTCGAAAACTACTGGTCGTATCTTGTTAAATATAAAATGGAACCACATGAGATCCACATAGGTAAACAAAAATCAACGGTATCGGTTCATCTATAAAAAAGTTAAGGCTAAGACAAACAAGTTAAATTTAGGAGGATTCTGAAATGGACAGTCATTTGGTCATGTCAGTAATCGATGACGTACCTGAATCGAAACTGCTCCCCTAGTTCCCGTTCGTCTCGCGGCGATATCTCGAAGACCCCGGTGAAGGCGTACGGATGACCCCCGTACGCCCATTCCGATCCGTGAACTTGAACACCGCTGTGGAACACACCCAGACCCGCGCCCGCAGTGTACCTAACCACGAATTCCAGTATAGTATTATTAGTACTGGTACTGGTGGTAGTACCTCTTGTGAGTCCGCGCGGTTAGGTACCACCGCCCCGCCTATTTCTGCCGTGAAGCAGTAATGCATTTCGGTCTGAAGGGTAGGGCAGCCGTTGTAACTATACTGAGATCTTAGAACTTATATCTCAAGGTGGGTGGCGCATTTACGTTGTAGATGTCTATAGGCTCCAGTAACCGCTTAACACCAGGTGGGCTGTGAGCTCGTCCATCCAGCTAAGCAATAAAATAAAAATAAAAAACTCAACTCGTAAGATTGCGGATCAAACATGTGACTTGATTGCGAGTTGAAAGTCCGAGTAATAAACACGTGGATGTTTATAGTTATTCCAAGAATTCTGGCACGTGCGCAAAGCTGCTAGCTCGTCAGTGTTACGCTGTAGTGCCTAAGGCATTCAGGTAGACTTATTTCATGTATTATAAAAAGGTTATAAAAATGAATACCTAACGTGAATTGAAATTTCTCGAAAAGTAGTCTTAACCCTTTGCACCAGTCTTCTTTCGCTCAGAGGAAGCGTTATAGTAATAAATGCTTCATATTTCTGGTATAGCAAACCTATTAACACTGACAGTCAGCTCTGAAGAGCAGGGCTTTAGTTTGTATTTTTCTTGAAACGTGATATAACGATATTGTTATTGTCCTAAGTTGAGCTTACAACGGTTATCTACCTGTTGTTTAATTACTGGGGTCGACAGACAAGAAAAATAGATTAGATAGAAGATCTCAATGCGACAATCTTAACCCACTTTGAGACATGATGTCGTAGAACAAGTTATATAAAATATCAACCTTTTTTGGTTAAAAAACCGAAACGCATAGCTGATTCACGGAATAATAAGTCGGTATACCATCCATCAGTAAATATCCTTTTTTTATTTCGCCGGGCGGAAACCAAAAGGCCGAAATAAATGGTCCGAGCAAATTCGCACACCAAGTTGCATGATGCTCTCCATAAAGGAAGATCGAAAACACATGGAGGAGCAGCATCAGAGAGATTAATCTCTCTAGGGGGGAATTATCACAACTGAGGGTCGTTTTCCTTATTACTACGAGGAAGATGACGCGAAAAGGATCCAAGTCGATGGAGATTCTGGTCGAGATCCTTCATAATTTTACTATATTTTTTACTTATTAGTTAACATTTCATTGTGTAACTTAATAAAAGGACTGTGATAATCTAAGGACGTTGCATACTATACAAGATAATGTAAAAGGCAAACAAGCATATGACACATTGACAAAAGAACCCCGGTAGAGATTTATTAATATCATGAAAGCTACTCATAAAAGTATTATTAAGTTTACATGTCCGTCGTAAAACTGCCCAGTCGGGATATCGAGGGCTTTTAGATGGTACTTCTCTGAATAAATATCTCTAGTGTAGTAAATATGATTTTTAATATGATTTTTTTTAAATAGGGCCACTCCCACAGATGAATCGTTGGCGTGGCTGGAATGATATCATGGTCCTATCAATTTAATGTGCACATCTTATCAGTTCAACACTGCGTGCTTGTAGACAAACTTGAACAGCATAAGGTTGTATGATCCTCTTTGTCACAGGGTAATAGTCATGACATCGGGCTCTCAATGTTATGTAAATTTATAGTTTTATGTGGTGGTTAAATTTGAAGTTTTTGTGGAATTTTCAAAGTTACTTAAAACAGTTAAACCGGGTATTCATTTGACCATTTGACTTGCCGATTTAAGCCATCGGAACCGATTGTATGCGACTACCAGCTTTTTTGAAGCGAATCAACCAAAAAGCCGGCTCAAGATAATAGGTGTGCTTAGAATCGATTCACATCTTTCAAAAGTGTTCTTTTTAATGAGCTGCGGTGACTTTTCTTCAGTTCTCGAGTTAGCGTCCTTATTGCGTCTCTACCAACCAGCCATAGTTATCGCTTATCAGACGGGCGCGGCTATTCCAATAAAATACCTAATGGCTTTTGTATATGGTGTCAATAATTCTTAACCTAATAGATATCATTTTGCTATCAGGTAAATTTGGTTGTAGGATCTTAAAGACTTTAAAAGTCCACTTCAACCACACAACCAAACTCTTATTTATATCCTTAATCAATCCCGGGACAAGTTATTATCTATATAATATAATATGTATTTTTTGTTCTGTACGTACCACAGGCATTCACGAATAACTTGTTCAATAAGTGCACCGTGAAACAAAAAGCAAAAATACAAAATTTACAAATTTGTATCGTGATTTTGCGACAGAAAAACCATCACGTACCGCCCTATCACCAAAAATAAACTTATTTTAATCTTGTATGTTTCGTCCAAAGCGATAAACTGGAAGAAGGTCAGAACAAAAACCTAACTAATCTTTTGAACTGTTCTTGTTTGAACTATAGTTAACGAATCTTAAATCAAAGCTAATTAATAACATTGCCTTAACCTAATTAACTTTGGTATCGAAATTCTGTTGTAACACGCAAAGCTCACGGAGTTACTAGCCCGATCTTCTCGGTGGGTTGCGATTCCGATCCGATGGTACATTCTGCGAAGCACTGCTCATTAAGTAGCTACTGTTAGCAAATTCTCTCAGGGTGAGTCCGTGAGTTTACTTTTTTTTATTTATTGCTTAGATGTGTGGACGAGCTCACAGCCCACCTGGTATTAAGTGGTTACTGGAGCCCATAGACATCTACAACGTAAATGCGCCACACACCTTGAGATATAAGATCTAAGGTCGCAGTATAGTTACAACGGCTGCCCCGCCCTTCAAACAGAAACGCATTACTGCTTCACGGTAGGAATAGGCGGGCCGGTGGTACTTACCCGTGCGGACTCACAAGAGGTCCTACCACCAGTGCTCACAAGAGGTCCTACCACCTTTCCCATATGGGCATAACCTTTAAGGCTACCAGCGAATAGGTAGGGAAAAATAGCACGCAAGGGCCTTTGATTAAAGGGCTTTTGGGCACTACAAGGTTTTTTTGAGTTGTGAGTCTTGTCTGTTAAAAAGGTACCATTGACATCTCGACCACTACGTCATTGGGTCATTAGACCTTAACGGCCCAGACCCGAGGCCATCTCGGTCAAGCGCAGCTTTAGTTGAAACCTAAGCCTGTTTTTTCTGCGATAGTGAATTTAAACTAGAATTTGGAGGTCGGTATATAGATATGCATATATGTATATATAAAGTCAAATGCATTATAATTCCTCTCTTACAATAAAAGCACATGTGGTTTTTTTAAGCTTCTTTTTCCTTCTTTCATGATAATGATGATTATAATGAATGATTCACATTCCGCATTTACAAAATCGAAATCATGTTTCGTTGCGTGTCAAATGGGGAACAGCATCATCGATTCTACTATAATATATCATCTGAATATATGCTCACGAAAATCCGAATCAGGTTTTTATAAAAGAAATAAATAATAGTTTAAAAAAAACAAAAAAAAAAAATACGCTTTTGCTTTTCAGGATATTATCAANATAATGAATGATTCACATTCCGCATTTACAAAATCGAAATCATGTTTCGTTGCGTGTCAAATGGGGAACAGCATCATCGATTCTACTATAATATATCATCTGAATATATGCTCACGAAAATCCGAATCAGGTTTTTATAAAAGAAATAAATAATAGTTTAAAAAAAACAAAAAAAAAAAATACGCTTTTGCTTTTCAGGATATTATCAAAATAACCCTTCTACTCATATCTGTTGATAAAATATTTATAGCTACTGATAACATGCACCCTACGCCTTTTTACAATAAAATATTTTTTTCTTACACAATTCTTAATTCAAATTTATTAAAACTTACTTTCTATTTTTTAGTTGAATTAGTTAGTTAGTTTTAGTTAATAAAACGTATTTTTTTAGTTTTTTATAACAATTATTTATTTTAAATTTTTTTTATTATTGAATTGTCATCGGTCCTTAATAAGTATACCAAATTTCGAGTTAATCCGACATTTTGGAGGAGGTCAAAATCATGTTCCAAGATTCTGTTACAAACATACATACATAAGTCTGAAGCTAATAAAAGCGTCTTAACAAAAAAAACAATAAAGTCTTAGTTTCATTGTCTTGACTAAGTAGGAAGGATTACCATGAAATTTTATTCACATCAAACATTTTCACTCACCAATTCGTCCAATACATATCGTAAACGTTGAGGACCACGGTCGCCTGTCCGGGCCGAGGGTGCTGGGAGTCTGAACGGCGCGATAGCAGCGACATGCAAGACGGGAACATGGCGCAAATACCGCACGACTAATAAAATAATAAAACACAACAGTTTAGCCAATTACTGGTTTAATACTGGTGGTAGGACCTCTTGTGAGTCCGCACGGGTAGGTACCTTGCCTATTTCTGCCGTGAAGCGGTAATGCGTTTCGGTTTGAAGGGCGCGGCAGCCGTTGTAACTATACTGAGACCTTAGAACTTATATCTCAAGGTGGGTGGCGCATTCACGTTGTAGATGTCTATGGGCTCCAGTAACCACTTAACACCAGGTTGACTGTGAGCTCGTCCACCCATATAAGCAATAAAAAAAAAGCAAAAAAAAATCAATAGTACCATTCACAAAAAAAAAAACAAAATTATCATTACCGAATTATTGTGTAACATATCAAGGGGTGAAAGGGTATATGGTTCAAGCGACGTTTCGCTTATTACGCGACATTTATCTTTGTAATTAAAGGTCTGTTTTATTTGGTATTAGTAGGTACATATTTTTACTTTTTTCAAATAGCTGATGAAGCTTTTTTGTTATCTTATTTTTCCAAATTTCAAACTTTAAATAGCGCTCCTGTAATGTTGCAAAAATATCGCTTAAACCAAAAAGGCTTTCACCCCTCTATATATAAGTTTAGGAAGGCGTTTATTTATATATACACGTTAATTCACCTTGAAAAATAGACAATAGTAATGACGACAAATGTTAAAGATTGCTATTTCTTAATATTAATATTTTTTTGGAAACTGATTTTATGCACATCTCTATTAAAATAAATTGACACATTCTTTATACACGGGTGGAAATAAACTCAAATTTACATTAAGAGGTAAATCTTTGATACAGAATTTCCAGTTTCATTCACCTTTTTTTTTATAATTTTTAGCATCGATGCATCAGAGAAGTAAAGTATTTTAATACATCAATTATATAAATACTATATTATTTATCTACACACCAAAAGCATATTTTTTTTATTGCCGACAGCAGCACTTGACAGATACTAAATTAAAATTAACTTTGTAAAACTATTTAATCTGTGGTAGACTTTTTGGCGGGAGCGCGAGGAGTGAAGTTGTGTGTATTGTTTTATTTTGTCTATTTAGTGTTTCTTCAGGTTTAAATGTGTAATAACGGTGGTTTATTAATCGTTTAATATCTGTGAAAGTGCACAAATGTGGGAAAATGAAACAAAACCGCTGAACGTAACTTCTCGGGATCCTCCAAAAAGTCCACTGAAATAATCTCAGTAAATGGCCACCGTTTTACTGTGATTATATGTCATCCCATATCATCTCATCTTATTTCATTTCATCCCAGTTGATTAATGTCTCAAATTAACCATCTTCATTTCACTTCATATTATCATTTTTTGTAAAAGTAAGAATATAAATTAAAATAAGACATGACTTAAAGGTCGTAGTTACCAGGTCATAAAATACCTTAAAAAAAAGCTAGTATACAGAAATACATCTCATCAAGATCAATAGATGAAGAACGTAAGTTTTTAATTTGAACAACTCACTCATATTTTAGTTTAGCTTGCCTAATGCGATAGAAATATAATTTAACAAAATTGAGAAAATTACATAGTAACGTCATTAAAGTTATTCCTCTATTTTGGAGGGAAACCAGAATTGTTTTTTTTTTAAATCGTAGATCCGACAACACTAAAATTTAGCCGAAAAAAAAACGCTTGGACTCCTAATAAAGAAATCTACAAAAGTTTTCTTAACACTGTGTTTGTCGTCGTTCGTTTTAAAATTAGAGTTATATTAATTTACCTGATACGGCCTGTAAGTACGATAATCTATATATTAAGACGTGAAGCAAAAACTTTGTATCCCTTCTTACGAAAATTGCGTGGAGGAGTATGAAATTTTCCACACTTATAGAGAATATAGAGAAGAAGTGCACAATGCTAATATTTTTTTTAAATAATGCATAAAAGATACATTAAATCAATAAAGAAAACATTACACACACTACCATGTATTTGACACACACACGCATGCAAAATATTTATTTATTGTCAAACTTTTGTTCTTGACGTCTTTTTTTTTAAGAGATTTTATGACCTGGTAACTAAGACCTTTAAGTCATGTCTTATTTTAATTTATGTTCTGATTTTTATGAAAAATTATAATATAGAGTAAAATGAAATGAAACGAAGACAATTAATTATTATTTGTGACATTAATCAACTGGGATGAAATTAAATGAAATGAAATATAATCTCAGTAAAATGGTGGTCATTTACTAAGATTTTTTCAGTGGACTTTTTGGAGGATCCCGAGAAGTTATGTCCAGCAGCTTTGTTTCATTTTCCCACATTTGTGCACTTTCACAGATATTAAACAGTTACTAAACCACCATTATTACACATTTAAACCCGAAGAAACACAAAATAGACAAAATAAAATAAATCACACAACTTCACTCCTCGCGTTCCCGCCAAAAAGTCCTTGACGTCTATGCTCAAATTGAGAATAGATTAAATATTGTTTGTCTTTATTAATATTTTTCTATAGTGTAGTCTTGGCGTTGAAAATACAATCTTAATAGTGTACAAAGTTACAATTCCAATTAATTATAGTCGAATTTCGACTACTGCGGGACCCCTAGTATATTCTAAATGCCTAACAAGTATGAAGCCAGTCATCGTAATATCCTGATATTTGTATCTGTGTGAGTGGATGTCTGAATGTGTGCGTTATGTTAGCGTTTAATTTAACTCTTATCGTAACGAACAAGAAAACAATATAAATAGTCTTTCTTGTAGAACATGGCACTAACATTTACGTATTGACATTGAAAGCTATATCCGTGATTAAGATAACGAGGTAATTAAAACGTTATGATCACGACAATTCATTGATAAATGATAATATTCGAATGACACCAAATTGTAGCTTTTAATCGAAAATCCAAAAATAAAACGTGTTATCTGAAATTACTGTTACTCAGCTTGTGTGTTTTGAAGAATTGTTTGAACTTATCTTATCTTATGTAGGCATTTATTTTAACATCTATCACCATCTTCGTCGAGTTCGTCGAGCGAACTAATCCGTAGGCACAGCCCACTGAGTTTTGAGTTTCTCGACGGAAATTCTCAGTGGGTGGCGTTTCCGATCCGGTGGTAGATTCAGCGAAGTACTGTCCTTGCTAGGGCTAGTGTTAGGAAATTTTCTCAGGCTGAGCCCGTGAACTCAACAGTATGCGTCACTATATTTCGGATCAACTACATGTGAACATATGTACATACATACATTCTCTTTTGTATATATCGATTATGTAGTGAAGTATAAGACTCCCCGCGCACTAGGCAGCCTGGTTGCGGCAGCCAGACGAATATATGGCATTGTAAGGGAGTCCGTGCACATAAGCAGCCCGGAACTCTTGGCTGCGGCAGTCAATACAACGCGCCTGTCGCACGGCAGCCAGAGCGAGTGGTTGGCGAATGTATGTGGCTGCTGTCAGTCCCCACGCACTTGCTGTAGCAGCCAATGCGTGTTCGTTTTGCTAAATCTTATACCTTTAAACGAGCAATTCTTGTATACCTATATAATTTGAATCTCGGAAACGGCTCCAACGATTTTCATAAAATTTAGTATAATACAGGGGATTTCGGGGGCGATAAATCGATCTAGCTACGATTTATTTTCAGAAAATGTTGTTTTATTCGTGTTTTCAATTATCAACCCTTCCCGACATCTATTGGCGAATAATAATACTATTTTTCTTAATTGAGGGCAACTAACCGCTTTAGACACAACAAAATGGCGTTATCAAAAAAAAACGGTCATCATCTAGTGTTAGTTATATGACACAAGTATGCTTGTACAATCTCTTGTATTTAAAAAAAGCGGTCTGGGTTTGTATGAAAATCTTTAAAATAGTTACAGAGTAATGCCGTTCTAAATAAAGAGGATGAATCCAGTGTATTTTCTTTGATTTGCGTTTTTTACGAGATAAAGTCCAAATCGCTCGACGAAAGGATCGTAAATGGGCGTCGATTGGCTTCTATAACTGGCTGCTCAAATATTTCGGTTGCCGCAGCCACGCCGCTTAGTGCGCGGGGAGCCTTATACTCTTGACAGATTTTTGGCAATGGTTCGATTGTTATTGACGACTTAAGTAACCTCATCGAGCCGTATACTTTGTATGGTAGCGTAAATGTGAACGACATCTCTAAAGAAAATGTTCGCGGTGAGCAATTTAATTTTCATACAAACGCTTTCAAGTCGATGGAATCTTCGTTATCGGTGTAAAATGTCAATGACATTTAAGCCTTTCGCGGTAGCGCTTCGGCTTAACGTTAAGTCGCTTGTGAGTATTAGGTTTAAAACTGTATTAAATGGTTTATGCAGTATGGTCACCAGTACTGGGGCCGCTTTTAAAATCGTGCAAGCCGGATCCGGATAGGTCCGCGTCCGATGGCGGGGGTCCGAGTAGTGGACGTTGCCAGTGCGGTACCCACCGGTGGTAGATTATGCGAAGCACTGCTCTTGCTAGGACTAGTGTTAGCAACACATCCGGTTTGAGCCCCGTGAGCTCACCTACACGTCAAGGAGAAGCTGATATAGCGTCTCAACGCTCATCAGCATAGGTAGAAAAAGAAATCGGTACCCTGGGTTCGAACATGGCAAAGGTTGGAAACCCTATCACACACAGGTACAGGAACAATGTGAGCGTTGCCACGTTCTAGTACCTCATTCAAAAAGAAGTAAAAGCGTGTAACATGTTTTCGTGCAAGCTTCCTATTCCGACCCTGTTTGTCCTCGGGTAATGTTCCAGAACAATCCACGGCCGTGATGAAACTTCGTCGGGAACGTGGCATTTCGGATTTCAAAAGCGATTCACAGCTCAACGTTCCTTTGTTCTCTGCGAGTACAACTTGTTTTGCTTTAATATTTGCCATTAAAGGCTTCAAATTAGTCTGAAAAGTTTCGAATTGGTACTATAGAAAATTGGTGGGTGGTTTTTTTTGTGGGATCAAGGATTTTTATTTTTTATTGCTTTGATGGGTGGGCGA